CTTGGGAACCGGACGCACTAATGCTATAACTCTGGGTGTACTTTGGAAACAAAATACTACTTACATATTATTATTATTATTATTATCGACCAAGTTGCTTGTATTTGTTTTCAGTTTGATACGACAATACAATAAATACAGTGCTGTATATCCACAGGTTATAATCTGCATGGATTTTTTTCCTTTTTTTATTGTGAACATAATAATAATAATAATCCTTGTATTTGATACAGCACCTTATCATGTCTTCAAGACGTCTCAAAGCACTTCACAGAATACACTGTGAACTATGTACATAATTTATATAATTTACATAATTTATGTACATAATGTACATAAGTACATAAATAGTATAAAGTACATACTATTTATATTATTTATTTATATTGTTTACGGAATAGACTGTAAAGTGGAGTGACTGTATTTTGTGAATTTTAAAAGATACAAATTTTATTTTAAATGAAATTAAACATCAATTTCACATGCACAGCGACTCGATCGTATTTTATCAGCTATAAATAACTCTTATTCCTGACATTCAGGTGAGGAAGTAATGAGGGGTGAAAGGGAATACTGTATCCCTAAATGAGAAAAAAACATACACCAAAAGCCAAAATTATGTATTTTAACCAACCATATTATTGGAATTAATAACTGTTCAATCCAGATTGATTATAATAATAATATTAATGATAATCCTTGCATTTGATATAGCGCTTTTCACGTCGGGAGGACGGCCCAAAGCGCTTCACAGAACACACTGTAAAGTGAATTGATTGTATATTTGTGGGCGAACGTGTCAGCCAATTGCGCACAGCAATGTCCCACAAACAGTCGTAGATTGAAAATGACCAATTTATTATTGTTTTTGGTTTTGGAGGGATTATTATTAGGCTCTGTGTGGAGTAAGGAAACTTGCCCAAGGTTTCGCCCTGACCTGCCGGGAATTGAACTCAGGTCTCTCACTTACAAAGCGAGTGCTCTAACCACTGAGCTACAGGACTTCACATGCATTATTAAAATAATAATAAGCCTTGCATTTGATATAGTGGTTTTCATGTCTTCTATAAGTCTCAAAGCGCTTCACAGAATATATTATAAAGTGAATTGACTGTATATTTGTGGGAGAAACACAGCAGCCAAGTGCGCGTGATAGTGTCTCACAAACAGTTGTAGATTGAGTAACAAAATTATTATTATTATTGTTTTTTGAAGGATTATTGTCCCTGGAAAAGCGATCCTTCAATCGACTAACAACCAGGTTCCTATTTACTGCTAGGTAAACGGAAGCATGTGGAGTAAGGAAACTTCCCAACATCTCATCCTGCCAGGAATCGAATGCAGTTCTTGTGCTTGTGAGGCGAGTGCTCTAACCACTGAGCTACAGGACACTTCTCTTTCTCTCTCTTTGTATGGGGAAGGAGAGATTATTTATATAATTTATTTAAGATTGTTCACAGAATATACTGCAAAGCAGAGAGATTGTATATTTTGTGAATATTAAAACATGCCAATGTTATTTAAAATGAAACATCGAGTTCACATTTTATCAGCTAGAAATAACTCCAGATATCCAGGTGAGGAATTGGGTGTCACAGGAACTGGGGATTACAAATAAATAATAATCGAAATAAATCTCAGCACTGCACATGATTTACCTTCCTATTGAAACACCATGTGTGCTTTGTTACTAAAAAAAAATGTTTAAACTTCAATTCGATTCAAATGTAATTTTTTTAATTTTCAATTTTTATTTTTAAACTTCAATTCAATTCGAATTCAAAGTGTTTTGTGTGTAATTGGCTTCACTGTTGGCGCTGATCAACATAAGCACTTGACCTAGACACGTTATTTTGCTCCTGAAATGAATGGGCATGTTTTATAATTCACCTTAGAAACATTTTTTTTCGTTAAAAAAAAGATCAGTTCAGTCGCTGTTTAAAACACAATCGCTAACAGCAAAATTAAACTGTGAAATTCACAGTAAAATACTGGAGAGACATTCGAATAGATCGATGAATTGTTTTGTTAAATAGAATTACATAGAACATTGCAGCAGTGAAACTGTTAACCTGGTCACTACCAGTGTTTATAATGCACATAAACCTCAACCCCCCCTAATCCCCTTTCCCTGTCCCCCTCCCAAATTCTCTTTTCCCTTTCGTATGTCTCAAATTTCCTATTAAATGCGTTGATATGTTTTTTGTGTGCAATAAGTATAGTTTAGGACATTGTGGAGTGCAGTTTTCTGATCAATTGCACATGTATATTGGCACCACAAATAATAATAATAATAATGCGCTTCATAGAGTATACTGCAAAGTGAAGTGACTGTGCATTTTGTGGCCGAAAGACCGAACAGGATTGGAAAAGCATTTACAGTGTATCATACAACCGAAATAAATTACTGGAATACAGGTTTGTTTCAATTACGCATGAAATGTGGCATTTTTAAAAATACTGCATATATATGTATTGGAAAAAACTGCCCAATATCCATCCCATTGTTTTCTGGGGGTGATGGGGGTGTCGGTAAATTAAAGCCACAGTCTTTGTGGGTGCGAATAGAAAGAGAAGCTGCAAAATTTATGAATCCGAAATAAAATTGCATACATCCCAGCAGTACAACAGACAAACACCGCCACGCAATCGTTCCCTTTGCAACTTAACGAGAAATTGCAGTGCACAAATACAGATTGGGAAATGTTAACACATAATTACACATGCAATCGGTGCATTGATATCTACCTTATGGTATTGTGTCTGTAGTATTTCTATTTCCTCTATTGTCGCCCCTTCTCGTTGCCTCTGATCCTCCTTCAGCTGCTGTGTAAAATGCTCTTGCATTTCCAGTCCCCATCCGCTGTGTCCCGTTAAATTATTTTCTCTGTGTTCAAACAAAAACACTGAAATTGCGCAAAGTGCAAACGTTTTTTTTTCTCGAACTGAACGCTTTGATATTTGAAAACGCTGGAAACGAATGTATTACAAAATGCAAACGTTATAAAAAGAATACACCTATTTTTTTTAAAAATCACCAACTAAAAAAATTACAGATTTGGTTAAAATGCTATGTCCACACTTCCCTTCCCATAAAACATCTCAAACATGCATAAATAATAATAACAATAATAACAATATTAATAATAATAGACATTATTCTATACCCTTCAATACTTAATCAGCGCCTTTTAAAGAAAAGGTTGATAAAAATAATAATTCTTGCATTTGGAATAGTGCCTTATCACTTCGTTGAGAAGTCTCAAAGCGCTTCACTTGGGACATTGTAAAGGGAATTCCCTGTATATTGTTTGGGGGGAACTACAATAAAATATAATCTTAAATATAAATATTGATATATAATAATAACAATAATAATCATCATCAACTCCAAATGCTAAAGTGGTTTTATTTTGAAGGGTGTGTGTGTGTGTGGGGGGGGGAGGGGGGTGGGGGGGGGGGGTATCCTTAGCATTTTTTTTAGGAGACAAAGAGGGTTTATTTTTTCCTTTCCTGTGTTCGGTTAAATTCCATTGGAATTTCTTTAGGAATATTATGCCCAGAGAACAGTATTGCACTGCGCTCAGGCGCTAACATATCATCGTCTGGTCCATTTCACAGCTTCACATAAACACGTGTGTGAGTGAGTGTGTGTGAGAGAGAGTGTGTGTGAGAGAGTGTGAGTGTGTGTGTGTGAGTGTGTGAGAGGGAGAGTGTGTGTGAGAGAGAGTGAGTGTGTGAGTGTGTGTGAGAGAGAGTGTGAGTGTGTGAGAGAGAGTATGAGTGTGTGTGTGAGTGTGTGTGTGAGAGAGAGTGTGAGTGTGTGTGAGAGAGAGAAAGAGGGTGAGTGAGTGTGTGAGAGAGAGTGTGAGAGAGAGTGTGTGAGTGTGTGTGTGAGAGAGAGAGAGAGAGAGAGAGTGTGAGTGTGTGTGTGAGAGAGAAAGAGGGTGAGTGTGTGAGAGAGTGTGAGAGAGAGAGTGTGTGAGTGTGTGTGTGTGAGAGAGTGAGTGTGTGTGTGTGAGAGAGAATGTGAGTGTGTGTGAGAGAGAGTGTGAGTGAGTGTGTGTGTGAGAGAGTGTGTGTGAGTGTGTGTGTGTGTGAGAGTGTGTGTGTGTGTGTGTGTGTGTGAGAGAGAGAGTGAGTGTGTGTGTGAGTGTGTGAGAGAGTGTGTGTGTGTGAGTGTGTGTGTGTGAGAGAGTGTGTGTGTGAGTGTGTGTGTGAGAGAGAGAGTGTGTGTGTGTGAGAGAGAGAGAGTGTGTGAGAGAGTGAGTGTGAGAGTGTAACAGTATGTACCCGCGACCTAAAAGGATTTTATAGCTGTCAAATCTTGAACTCTCTCACACAGGTAGAAACAAACAACCAGTTGTTGTTGTTGTTGTTGTTGTTGTTGTTGTCTTTGGCTTGTGTTGGTGTGATATTGCCTTCCCTCCTGTCTTTCTCTGCCTGGCTGCCTGCTGCCTGCCTGGCTGATGCCTGCCTGCTGCCTGCCTGCCTGCCTGCCTGCCTGCCTGGCTGCCTGGCTGCCTGGCTGATGCCTGCCTGCCTGGCTGCCTGGCTGCTGCCTGGCTGATGCCTGGCATTTCAGCTGAGAGCCTGTGTGTGGATGTGTTGGTCTGGATGCCCTGCGGTGGGAGTGACTCAGTCACTCGGTGAAAGTCTACAGATCTTTACACGTCATGAACGCAGCAGATCACCTTCTCTCAGGTGTGAGGGGTACGGTCCCAGTCCGCTCCAGACCTGTGGATCTCCAGCCTCGTGATTTTTTTTTTTTGGTCGTGGGCAGAAGTGTCGATCTGGGGCTGTGATTTATTTTTGTGTGTGTGTGTGTGTGTGCGTGTGTGTGTGGCGTGTGTGTGTGTGGTGTGTGTGTGTGTGTGTGTGTGTATCTCTTTCATTTTGATTGCAAAACAGCAGAGGTGTGGATCTGGGCTCTGTTTATCTCTCTCTCTCTCTCTCTCTCTCACATAAGTGTTTGCTTCCATGTTGACTTGACTTTTGCAATGACTGCAGAGAGCCAGCAATCGCCCAGCGAGGCTTCCTCCGTCTGCACGGCTGAGCCGCCAGTGCCTGTCCCAGTGCCTGTCCCAGTGCCAGTGCCAGTGCCAGTGCCCTGTCACCAGGACATGGCCAGAGCCAGGAGACGCAAGCGGCCTCTGCAGCGCGGCAAACCCCCTTACAGCTACATCGCCCTGATCAGCATGGCGATCGGCAGCTCCCCGGACAGGAGGCTGACCCTGGGAGGCATCTACAGGTTCATCACCGACAGGTTCCCCTTCTACCGGGACAACTCCAAGAAGTGGCAGAACTCCATCAGGCACAACCTCACCCTCAACGACTGCTTCGTCAAGATGCCCCGGGAGCCCGGGCGGCCGGGCAAAGGCAACTACTGGACCCTGGACCCGGCCGCCGACGGCATGTTCGACAGCGGCAGCTTCCTGAGGAGACGCAAGAGGTTCAAGAGGTCGGAGATGGGCAGCTACGCCGCTTACGTGCACGAATCCAACGGCTTCAGTCCGATGCAGGCGAGAGGTCCCTACCCCGGCTCAGTGTACACCAAGGTCAGGGTCAGCCCGACCTACTCCCAGCAGCTGCCGGCCCACCCCGCCGTCTACTACCCGCCAGCATCGCCGGGATTCAGCACCAGCCAGTCCAGGGGCTTCAACTTCAACATCAACCACCTGCTGGGACACCCCAGTGCGCTGGGCCCCGCGCCTGAGCTGCTGCAACAGCAACAGCAGCAGCAGCAGCAACATCAGCCCTCTTGCACTTTACCGGCGGATCTGAGCTCCAGTTGCTCCAACCTTGCGGGGATGGGAGGGACGGGCTACCAGGCTCAAGCCTGTGGAGGGACCATGCTTCCCCGGGCTTCTCACAGCCTGCCCTATGCCTACCCGGGCTCCAACCCAAACCTCCCCATGAATCAACCCACCTATTGCCTTACTAATGGGCAGTTGTACGGCCCTCCTGGCTGCCTGCCCATCGCCGCCTCCTCTGGGGGCAATGAACCACTGGATCCCTTTGGGAGGTTGTCTCCTGTCCACTTGCAAGCACTGGGACCTTACAGCAACAACGGACAGATCAACGCCAACTATATGAGGCACCCGTCTTACTCTGGAGTCATGGAAGGGTTTGCACATTCAATTTGACAGCCTCTCCTCTGGGTTCATTACCCAAAAGGGAGACGAACTGAATTCAAACGGGTTCCGCGTTTGATACCTTGAGACCGTACCTGTGCCAAATGTTTCCGAAATATGCACATGTTGCAGTGCTTGCGAACTGTTCGTAATATCGTGCACTTAAATGCATAGTCCACACAATTTTTAAATGGTGAATATTTTAAAGGATACAAAAAGCTGGTTCGCAGCATGAAGGGGCTTCACCTGCTCTGATAGCTCGTTTTTTTTATAGACTGTGTTATCAAATGTGTTCATTATTGGTGCATTTCTTTAAAAACTTACATAAAATGATACTGAGTTTGCACCACAGACAAAGGTCTTTTGACTCATCTCTTCCCTGATCGTGTTTATATTCCACACCAGCCCCCACACATCCTGCTCCCCATCTAATCTCCCATACTCTAGTCTATTTATTATTTCCTCTCTCACGTACGCATTGGGTTTCCTCTTAGCTTTTCTTAAGACCTGTGGGATTGCAATGTCAAAGAAATAAAACTCCCTCCGTGTGTATCATAACCCGCCCTATCCGGGAAGAGAGTTTCAGATGCGACATAATATGTAATGCACTGATTTATCTTTTGCAAACATGTGCAGAGCCCCGAGACACCACAGTCTCTGTCGAGCAACTGATTCCAGATTAAACCACACGAATGCAGAAGTCATATATATAGGTTTCAATGAGTTATCACTGGAAAATCGCGAAGCAGCAGAAAATTAACATCTGATAATTTTCTTTTAAAGCCGAATGGTATTGTTATTCTTCACGACAGCGCAGATTAATGTGCCATTTGATGGACGTGTTTTGCCTTCAATGTTTTTTGGCGAATTTCGTGTTTTAGTTTAATGAATGAACGGTTTGCATCTCTGATGTTCAGCACATGTGCCTGGGGCTCAAACTCTGCTGTGAGATCGTGTGGCTTGTGTCTGTCTCTGTCCAAAGATATGTTGCTCATTTTGATACTGTGGTCAGTAAACAACACCTAAAATATTATCTGGTCTTCTGCTTTGATGGATCTGATCATTTGTCGCGCTGGGTTCGCAGTTACAGCGAATAAAATAAAGGGATTAGCACATCGGAGACTGCGCCTTAAATTCATTCTAAGAAAACAATGTCAGTAAAATAAAAGGAAACACATTTAAATCATTTATCGCGATTAACCACTGAAGTACTTCCGATTCTCGAGGATTCTACAGGAAAACCCCAATGAATTTTGCTTTGAATAACTTTCTTGATCGGTGACTGGGTTTAGATCATTTTTGAAACATTGTTGGTTTGGATTCAAGTATTCCTGGATCATTAAATGTCCGGTTACAACACTAACTGACAATCCTAAACATCAATTGTTTATACATTAAAAACTCTGAAGAAATATTATGGTCGGATTCCTGGTTAAGAGATTTAATAATAATAATAAGAATAATAATAATCTTTGCATTTGATATAGGCCCTCATCACGTCGTTGAGACGTCTCAAAGCACTTCACACTGTAAAGTGAATTGACTGTGTATTTCGTGGGCGAAACGTATTTAGGATTAATATGATCCAGTTTCCTATCAGAATCATCCAGACTAAACCACCATGTCCCGGGTCAGGTACAGGTGTAGGAAGAGGCTGGAGCGTGTAAGTTGCTGTATTGGACAGTACGTGGTCGGCTGTGTGCTACACACAGGACACATACAGGGGATCACATACATGTAGTCAATTACAATACACTATGGACTCCCGGGTCACACATACGGTCTGGAATATGCAACGCTCAACTTACAAGCCACGATTTGCATTGATTCGTATAGAGTCGCACAAAATCAATACTAAACGTCCAGTTTAACTGCAGCTCGACTGATTTGGGGAGGGGGAGGGGGTGGGGGAGGGGGTGTCTCATATATTACGATCTTGCGATAATGTGCTAAATCAAATGCAAGGAATATTATTATGATTATTTTTATATTTTCGTATTGACATCGGACTTTCCCATTGATCGGCTTGATGTGTTTCCATCTCCTCGCTGTTAACGAACCCTTTGAGCAATGACCACATCTGAGATTGCAGTGTGTTGATGTGGGTTTGGTCCTTTTCCAAATTATCTTGGAGAACGTGGTCGGGGAATCGAATAGATCACGAATGCACCCAGAGCAATAATGATAATCCTTATATTTGATACAGCGCCTCGTCACCTTGTTGAGACGTTTCAAAGCGCTTCGCATAATATACTGTGAAGTGTAGAGTCTACACCTGTGCAAAGTCGACTTTCCTTAGACTTGGGTTAGTCTAATGCAGAGTGGATACAGTAGTATAGTATCTCAGTCTCTCTGCTACAAGCATCAAACATCAATGCACTTGTCAATGCACCCCCCCCCCCCCCCCCCCCCCCACTCTCTCTCTCTCTCTCTATATATATCAACACTTGTGCAAACTATTCCCAATCAGAAAGTATCTGTACAAATGTAATAAACCTCTCGCTTTACATCCGAGAGTTGATAAAACTGTGACAGCAAAGGGCTGGTGAATTGTTCTTCAAAAAAAATCATCTTAATCTCCAGACGAACGATGGATGTCAATAAATCTGCCCACCTTGACAACATATATTCTCTGTGTGTGTGTCTGTGTGTGTGTCTGTGTGTCTCTCTGTGTCTCTCTCTGTGTCTCTCTCTGTCTTTCTCTGTGTCTCTCTGTATCTCTCTGTGTCTCTCTGTGTCTCTCTCTATGTCTCTCTCTGTGTCTCTCTCTGTGTCTCTCTCTGTCTTTCTCTGTGTCTCTCTGTGTCTCTCTGTGTCTCTCTCTGTGTCTCTCTCTGTGTCTCTCTGTGTCTACTCTCTGTGTCTCTCTCTGTGTCTCTCTGTGTCTCTCTCTGTGTCTCTCTCTGTGTCTCTCTGTGTCTCTCTCTGTGTCTCTCTCTGTCTCTCTGTGTCTCTCTCTGTGTCTCTCTCTGTGTCTCTCTCTGTGTCTCTCTCTGTGTGTGTCTCTCTGTGTCTTTCTCTGTCTCTCTCTCTGTCTCTCTGTGTCTCTCTCTGTGTCTCTCTCTCTGTGTCTCTCTCTGTGTCTCTCAGTGTGTGTCTCTCTGTGTCTTTCTCTGTCTCTCTCTGTCTCTCTCTGTGTCTCTATGTGTCTATCTGCTGCTACTGACCATCAGAGAATAATGTACATCGCGGATGGTTCAGTATATTTACTGACGATTGGTGAATCACAGTGAAGATGGTTTGCTGTTGATCACTTTCTTGCCCGCATGTGTTACCCGAGAGAAATATCAGCGATATAAGCACAGTTTCACTGTTTTAGAGCTCGGTTTGCAATATTTTGTTAGTTGTGTCAACACCGTGCAGTGCGTGATAAACCACTTGTACTTCGCCAGGTGAATAAATAATAATAATATTTTGATTTTGACAGTGATTTGTCTAGTCCAGAAACGGTTTCAGGATTTAATTTACTGGCTGGTGCTGGAGAACGCGTTTTTCCTTGTATTTACAGCCTTGTATTAAACAGACGTGCGTTTCATTATTTTGTATCACTTTAAAATTGCTAAAATGCGCGTTGAAGTCGATTGCATTAAACCCCCAGATGTGTTAAAGGCAATAACATTCTCAGCTGATTGCAATGTCTGATCTATTTGCAGATCAAATGAATTTTAACGGATTGACATCATGTACCGATTACTTACAATAGCGTTGTGTGCCCATTAGAAAGGACACAGTCACTTTACAGTGAACATATTACTCATCTCACACTAATAGGAATATAACACAATAATCCTGGCTTTTGATATTGCCCCTTTCCACGTTTGAGGACATTTCAGAGCACTTCACTGGAATCACTGTAAAGTGACTGTGTCCTTTTGTACGTACCGCAGGGCACCAATTTGTGCACAGAGATGTCCCACAAAACAGCTCCGATTTGAATTCGGGGAATTTTTTGGGGGAAGTACGAAAAACAACATTGAATTATAGATTTACAACCAGTTTCTGTCAACTGAATCCAGTATGTTTGACAACATCAGAAATGTTCACTTGGCAGACGTTCACGGTGGAATAAGACATTTCTGTTGCACTTTTATTTGAGAGCTTTTAATTTTAACATGTCTTTTCTTAAATGTAATGCTTCACACTCAGTGACTTTTTAACCTTGTAACCCACAGACGTGGTCAGCGTGTAAAGACAATTTATAATCAAAGAAATTGTTCACTTAACGAGTTCACAACTAAATGCAGTCAACGTTAGCACTGCAGCGGTGAGAATAATAATAATAATAATCCTTGCATTTGATATAGTGCCTTATCACGTCGTTCAGACATCTCAAAACGCTTCACAGAATTATTGCAAAGCAATATATTGCAAAATGATACGACAATATATTATAATAAAATAATATTATAATATTATAAAATAAAATAGTTATAGTCAAATGCAATAATATAACAATACATTATTATAACATTGTAATACAACACAATAATAACATAATAACTAAATATAATAATATAATAATAAAGAGATGGAAGGGAAATTCGTTTCAATTTAAATTCTTAATATCTTCTTAATTCTTAATAACGTTTATTGATTTCCTAATGATAATTTAGCAAATACATTACTTTGTTATGTAACATCTGGATATAAAAAAAACTGCTTGGTCAATAGGTCTGCTTCGTGATTTTTTTTTAAAAAATGAACGTGTTTTACTTAAATATACATTTTTGAAACCCACTTTGATTTGCGCACCTCCTGTCATAATAAAGTAGTTTTTTTTTAATATTTAAATTTCGCAGCTTTACGAGTGCGGACAGAAGTGGTTTGCAATGACAGAACCGGTTCGGCAGTCGTCAGCTTTGGCATCAAAAGGTATTTAGTTGAACGAGGAACATTTCTCAGCACGACTTAGCAAAGCCACAAACAAAACATGCATTCAAACAGGATTGTTTTGACCCTCCCCACAAAAATCTCTAGAGATAACAAGATGTCCTTTTTCTATTTTCAGCGTTGGACGCAAACCGTGTTAATAGCAACTTGACATGTGTACATCTGAGTGACAGGTCTGTATGTAACAGTA